GTGGTATAGTGTCATGATAAAACACATATATTAAATCTATTTGTAGTTATTGTAATCATAAAATGAGTTAAAAAGGCATTGTTAAAAAAATGTGTTAAAAGAAATGTTGAAAAGATATATAGTTTTCAAATATTTATAATTTGTTAATTTTTAAGTAAACTTTATTGAAAAAATATACATTTCAGTAAATATCTACATACTATTAATTTTTAAGTAAATTTAGTTGAAACAATATATACTATGTTCCTTTTTTGTTATTCCAGTTGAGCCTTTATTTATAGATTATTACTTTTTGGTGATGAAATGGGGAGTAGCTATTAGTAAAGAGAAAGCCCATTTTTTAACAAAATAAATTTTGTTGAAAAATGGGCTTTCTCTTTATTTATAGCTCTTTCCCATTCAAACATTTAAATGTTTGAATTTTCCTTCAGTAAAATTTACTAATAAAGTTTTTTTAGTACTTTTATGTGCAAGATAATTTTATATTGTAACTTATTCAGACAGTTTTTTAAATGTTTTTGTTAATTTTATATAAGATTTAAAAAAAATATATTTTTACAATTAAAATTATGTTCATTAGCTTGCAATTCCTGAAGTCTTTTTTAAACAAATTATTTCTTCAACTTGTGTTACACTGGTAGATCAGATACTTTTAAATATGTTACTTATATTTATTGTTTTTTTTAAAGGTAAGTATACAAAGTGTTACAACATAAATTTTAGGAACTTTCATTAAATATTAAGGATTTTTTGTGTAGAGAATATTTCCTTCATAATACTTTATTGTTATATATATATATATATATATATATATATATATATATATATATATATATATATATATATATATATATATATATATATATATATATATATATATATATATATATATATATATATATATATTCATAAACAAGACAAATTTTCTAATTTTTAAAACCATTTTTTTAATAGAAAACAATACATGTTTCAACTAACACTAGTCATCTTTAGTTAAAATTAGATATTTAAAATTTGTTAAAATACCTATGAAGGTGTTAAAAAAAAAAACAATACAAAATATAGTTATTCTTGTACAAAATTATAATAATATAATTACAAAAATCCAATAAAATCAGTTAAATAGTTTACCATGTCATACAAAAGAAATAGGAAATAACAAAAGATTAAAAAGATACGCAATATGTATAAAAATAAGCAGCTAAACAGAAAGTGTCATTTGTACAAGGTTAACCTGTTTATTCATACTAGGTTTTAACCATTCTATAAACATATTTTCTTTACGTTTTAGCTCAAATTTGTTAGATGCTAAACCTAACACAGAAAAATACTTATCATTTATTTGCATGAAACAATTTTCATTAGCATGAAGAAGTTCATAGATAAGAATTTTTGTCCCTCTTGTAATGTTCAGATATCCAGATCTTGAGATGGCAAGTAGTTTTGCCTAAATAACAGGAGTTACATCCTGCACATGTGACCACAAACGATTTGATCTCTAGATGAATAGGATCTTTAGAAGAATTTAGAAATTTTCAGTGAGGTAAATACTAATTTAATATTTGCTGAACGGCTATATCTTTTAGCAATTGAATTCAGACTTTTTTTAGTTAAATCATATATTTTTCCAAAAAACGGCAGTTTAAAATAAGACAAAGATTCTTTGATTTTTGGTTGTGGTGGAGGAGTTGAATTAATCTTGTTTAAATAGAAGTTATATACTTTTGAAACGAGCCAAGATGGGTACATATTTCTTTAAAATACTTTAAAGAGGTCGTTTATGTCAGAGTGAAACCCAAGTTTAGTACTATTAATTTTAAACATTCTATTGATTAAGCATTTGATTAGACTAACTATGTACAAAAATGAAGTGAAACTATAAAAATTAGTGAAGACCAGAATAGGTTTTTTCATGAAAAACGGTAGTGGTAACTGAAGAATTAGTTTTGTGTAGAGTTACATCTAAAAAAGATATTTTTGAATTTACTTCTTGTTACATAGTAAAAGAAATAGAATTGTGCCTACTATTTATATGAAAAATAAATAGTAGGCACAATTCTATTTAAATATCTAAGAAAAAGATGTGCGTCATTTTCTGACTGGAAAGCAGCACAAATGTCATCCACATATCTTTTATAGAAAACTGGTTTTACATCATTGAAATTTTGATCCAATTATTTTCAAAATGATCCATGAACAAATTGGCAACAACAGGTGCCAGTGGAGAACCGATTGCTACACTATTGTTTTGATTATAAGTTTGTCAATTAAAAAGAAAATATGTTTGTAAAGTGGTGAATTGGAATAGTTTTTTTAAACCAATTTTAATTTTAATGTTTTTATTATGGAGCAAAATTAAATTGACTGCAATTTCAATGGTTTCTTGAAGCGGAACATTGATGTATAAGCTTGTTACATCGTATGGTACTAAAAAATATTTGTGGAGATCGACATGACTAATTTCTTTAACAGAGAGTTTATTTCAGAAAAGTTTCAATAAGAAATGTCTAATAAATAGAGCTAACTTATTAGGTTAACTTTAACTTTGACATATCAGGATCCATGACCCATTTTCTGTGTCTTCATTTGCTTTTTAAATAAATTTTAATGAGAGAGGTTGAAAAAACTAATTTATAAAAATTTTATTACAGCCTTAAGTTTCCAAAAACACTGGAAGAAATGTTACACAACTGTCATCTCTGTTAAAGACTTTTTTTATGTTAAAAATAATTAAAAAGTAAAGTAGTATAGTTAACTGTTAACCAAAAGCCAAGAATATTAAATCAATTTATTTTCTGGTGTAAACTAAAAGACCTGATCAAGACCTGACAGCTCTTTGTAAAGTATAATAATTTTTTGTAATTTTTTTTATTTAAATATCTATTAAAACACAATATATATATATATATATATATATATATATATATATATATATATATATATATATATATATATATATATAGTATATAGTCTCCATATATAGTATCCAGTATATAATTTTCAAATAATCCATAATATATATTACGGCTTATGATATTCTACCATTGTTGTTGTTTTTGTTTTTTTAAATAATTCACTTCCAATAAAGCTGGAAGTAACCACTATTAAATTGAGAGTTACTAGAAAACAAAGGAATAGTGTTAAATAGCAAAGAAACAGTTGACAGAATTTTTGAAAAGTTTTAGATTGTATGAGCCAGGAAAACGTGAAGTTGGGAGTTTTAAAGCATTAATATCGTCGGGGATAGTGCAAAACCGCATAACTGGCATTGGATAATACCGCGTATCTACAGTACATTTTTTTTTACTGGAGAAGTTTAAAACTTTATATATCTTTTATTTTAACTGATTTTGGGTTCATTTTAGTAATAAGAGTATTATTTATGTTTTTTGTAATCTCAGCAATAGATATTTGGTGTTGAAGCTAATAATATCTAAATAAAGTAGCCAATGCTACTTTATTTGGATATTATTAACTTCAACACCAAAATGGTGAGTTCATTAAAGAGAATTAACCTTACACAGTGCATAGGAAGATGTTCTGAGACCTTGCAACACATCCCCAGAATTTTTTTTGTTTCTTATCAGAAGACTCTTCCTTGTTTTAAAAATGCAAAACAATTTTTTTCACCAGGGGCCTTCTAGGTGAGTGCCGAGTAATTTTGTTGTTTAAGAAAAGTAACTAAGAGCTATGTGGCATACTCAAATTTTTAGTATGTTAATATGGTATCAAATGAGGATGAGTTGCAAAAAGTTTAGGTAATTGGAGCTAACCCGACCCCAAATTGCCTCCTTCCTAGAACTACGTCTCCTAAGATAAAAATTTTTTAAATTCTATCATAAATTAGACCAAAATTTATTGACAGATTTCAAGTTTCATCAAAAAATATATTTGTTTAAGATTCATGACCATATGCAGTTTAAAATTCCACAAATTTACCTGAAATAATTTTGAATGGCCGTAACTTTTAAACTAGAAATTTTTTTTGATGAAATTTAAAATCTGTTGATGAATTTTGATTAAGCTTAATAACACAAAAAATGGAAAAATTCCTTTAAAGAACCATACACTAGAGGTCATAAGGGGTATTAATTCTATTAGGGGTCATAAATCTTAAACGAAAAGATATTTTTTGATGAAACTTGAAATCTGTCGATAAATTCTGATCTAATTTATGATAGAATTAAAAAAAATATTTTATTTTCTTAGTAGACGTAGTTCTAGGAAGGAGGCAATTTGGGGTCGGGACGGGGCAGGTCAACTCCAATTACCTAAACTTTTTGCAATTCATCCTCATTTGATACCAGTATTAACATACTAAAAACTTGAGTATGCCACATAGCTCTTAGTTACTTATCTTAAACAACAAAATTACTAGGCACTCGCCTAAAATACGTGATTTCTTTTAGACCCTCGGTGAAAAAAGTTATTTTACATTTTAAAAATAAGGAAGAGTCTTCTGATAATAAACAAAAAAAAATTCTGGGGATGTGTTGCAAGGTCTCAGAGCATCGTAATATGCACCGTGCTTAGTAGATGCTAATTTTGAGATGGATTGTGTATATAGTTTTTAGGAGATGTCAGACCAATGTATACAAATTAAATTGTACCTTTTTTAAAAATGATTTTAAGCTGGTTTTATTAATATTCTTTTGTAAATTAAAAAATACAGGACTCTTGGAAAATTTGGAATTTAAAGTATCCTAAAAAAATCAAGACTTCTTTTTTTAGGACAAAATAAAGACTCGAGGACTACAGACTATAACTCAGCACACTCACTAAAAAATAAAAAAAGTTTTTTTTAATTAGTTATTTAGGTGTTCTGAAGTCCTGACAGTCTTATCACAGAGCACCGTGGAATAGCATTTAACCAAAAAGTTCACGCCTCCTTCCTTACCAATGATGCAAATATGAATAAAATAATAATAATAACAGAAAAAACATGTTTACATAATTCTATTGATATTAATTATAGTTTATTTTGTTTTACATTTACTTACCTCAGCCCAGGTTTCTGAAACTTGGTACAAGTCATAACGTTGTTCTTCCATAATAGTAATACAATTGTTAACTGTTTCAGCAATTATATTACTCCCCATCTTATCAGCATCAACATCCATCCATCCCATCGAGTGAACCGGAAAGCGGATTCCTGTCTGTATAAAATTACTCCCTACAATTTTACATTTTTTTGAAAACAAAAATTCAACTTGCTAAGTTAAAAGTTAACCATACATAATAAATTTGTGCACAAAAAATTTTCACAATTTTTTAATTGATATGTAACAAGCAAATGTAGTCTAAAAAGTTTTATGTTAGTTAAAACAAAATTGTTTTACTTTTTCTAAATTTTAAATTAAGGCAAATATGGGCACTTAAACACCTTACACACTTTAATTTTTTTAAATTATTTTTTAACTTTTGAAATGTCAACTTTAATTCAAACACTTTTTCAGACATAAAAAAATATTACAGCTTGTGGTTCCAACAACATTACTAGATTACAAGGTGGTATCCAAAATTCTCTTTATTACCCTCTAAACTATTTAAGAGCTACTAATACTACTAACACTAAAGGTTGAAATTTTTTCTTTCTTAATCTCTTACTTAGCTTTGTGACTTGTTATTTAGACAAACCTAATCACTTAACTTCACTCAATGAGACTTGTCCCAAGCTTGTGCTTATTTCTCCTTTGGGTAGTTCCATACTATTTCTCACTAAAACTTTTCTTAAACTTTTTTTAAATCTTAAACTTTTTCATCAGACTATCAACACACTTTTTTACCTTAAAGTTAATTTCTATCAAGATTTTCTTTGTGATGGTTCAAGGGCTGATGCTTTGTCTCTTCACTGAGAATCGTGTGTTCTGTGCTATCTCCTGGATATGGAAAGGCATTGATACTTTTACTCCATCCTGTCAGTTTTCCCCATCCTGTCAGTTTTACTACATTCTGCCAAGTCAAGCTTCACACTACTCCATAGTTCTCTCTTTCTTGTGCAGCTGCTATTCTAATTGTAATCAATTCTTTCATTTTTTTCTAAAAGAACAATCAGAGTACAAACATCATTGCAAGAAATCGATGCAAAATGATTTTCTCTAATTTATCTCTTGAATCTAATGACCACACTCTCGCTGTCAACCAACAGAAACAAGTAAACTCATTCTTAAACATCACTCCAACTTCCATTGCTAAAACTATTTTCCCGCCTAAATTTTCAAATTGTGCTCCAGACTGTTCCTGTCAGTCTTACCAAGGTATTTTCCAGACTTCTCTTAATTAATCACCAAACTATTTAACAAGTGTTTAGCTGAACCTTGTTTTACTGCCTGCTAGAAAATGGTATCTAGGTTGAAATTTGTAACAAACTATCGAGATTACTCTGATTTTTTAAAGTATTGTCCAATCAAATTTAATTAATTTGATTGTCCAATCAAATTTAATTAATTTGATTGTCCAATCAAATTTAATTAATTTGATAGGGTTTCTGAAGAACAGTGGTTTTTGAAAAACAGCTGTTTTACTGTTTTAGAATTTTTAAAAACAGCTGTTAACAGCTGTTTTACTGTTTTTTTAAATTTGGAAAATTTTTTATTTATAAATGAGTACAAGTAAGTGCTTAATACACAGGAGACATTTATTAATTTTCCTAAATTTTTCTAACCAACTAAATCTGCCCTAAATTCTAAAAAAGTTTCTAAAGTTATTATTTCTTTTTTAATAGCTCAAGCATTATTGGTATTGTGTTCCAGAGATTTTTTACAGCAAGATGAAGTTAAATTTTTTTTATCAAGTAGAGTCTTGACTTTTGATTGAAAAACTTGATTTAATCTTTTAATCTCAAAATTCAAATTAATCTTTAAACATTTTATCTTAAATATTAACAAAATATCATTGTCCACTTAAAGTAGTAACCTTATCAATAGTCATGCTAAACTTTCCTTTATTGTCTATTTTTATGGTGTCAATCATTTTTTTTTTTTTTTTTTGCTTTTCATAAAAAATTTTGTACAGATATTGCATCACCTTCGTTAGAGGGGAGTTTAAAAACTTCAAATTCACCCACCATCAAAAAAAACAGTTCATAACTGGTAACTACGCAATTATTTTTAAGTTAATGTAAATAAGAAACTTATTCTAGAAGAAAATTTTTGTACTAGATCAGTAAAATAGAACAATTAATATAAGAAACTCCCTAGTATGTGTGCTAACCTAGTACTAACCTTTGTGCTCAGTTTTTTTTTAATAAAAAAAGTGCTAACTACTAAACTAAAGTTATTTATTAAAGTTACTTATTATCCAAAAACTATATGCAATATTGTTTTATATGTAAAATTTAAAATGAAAGTCAAATCAAATTGCCATTGTTTTAATAAATGTTGTTAAAGAAACTTTTATATTAGCAATTTTGATATATATTTTTTTAAATTTGAAACCTATGACAATATAAACTTTTATCTAAAAACGTTTGAATGAAAAAATTTAAAAATTTTTAGGTTTGAATGAATCTTTATGCTGTTAAAACTTATTATAACATCTAAGAAAAACTTTTTATTTTACGTTCATTACAGCGAACATATAAAAAAAGTTTAAGATTTTATTTTTTTGTTGCTTCAACTTTAATTTAAGAAAATTGAAAAAAACAGTAAACATTTGATTTTTCTTAAGAAAACATTTGATTTTTCTTAAGTTGTTTTACTGTTACTGCTAAACAGTGTTCAGAAACCCCAAAAGGTCTACAGGCTAGACTGTCTACAGGTCTACAGGCTAGACTGTCTACAGGTCTACAGGCTAGACCTGTCTAAGCTGCCTAGCTTGAGCCTCTCATTATTGCAAGTTTGCATCTTTTTTTTCTTCTATAAATACTACCAGGGTTGCTGCTCACAGAAATTATCATCTCTTGTTTCATCAATCAAAACTCAATCTCATATGACTTTTCATTTAGTGCATTTTCTAACTTCAACTTCATACTCAAACTCCTTCATACCCAAACCCCTTCATACTCAAAAAACTTTTATTCTACTTTTTTTTTCCTCTAACATTAATGCTTTGCATTTCTCTCCCATCTTCATATTTTCCTGACTTATACAACTTTTTTCTTGCTTTTCAACTCACTTCTTTTGCTATCTATTAACTCCCAACTCAAAAAATTGATTTTTGCAGCCTTGTTAGAAGTAAATTTATTTAAAACAAAAGTAAATTTGTTGAAATATGGTGTTTCAATAAAAAAAAGATTAAAAGTTAAAGGTCACCTAAACATTACTACTAATAAAAAAGATTTTTTATTTCCAAGTAAGGTTAACAATATTTAATAAATTACTTTTTGATAAAGTTTCAAGTTTCAGAGTCAATGTTTTGAAGTTGAAACTTAGTAGGACATTTTGCAAATTTCACAAAAAATAAGCTTTTTCAACACATTTTTTTTATGAGTGATAAAATTTTTTTTTATGGGTGATAAAATTTTCTATTATTAGTGATGAAATTTTCTTTCATGAGTGATGAAATTTTCTTTTATGAGTGATGAAATTTTCTTTTATGAGTTATGAAATTTTTTTTTTTGAGTGATGAAATTTTCTTTTATGAGTGATGAAATTTTCTTTTATGAGTGATGAAATTTTCTTTTATGAGTGATGAAATTTTCTTTTATGAGTTATGAAATTTTCTTTTATGAGTGATAAAATTTTCTTTTATGAGTGATGAAATTTTCTTTTATGAGTGATGAAATTTTCTTTTATGAGTGATGAAATTTCTTTTATGAGTGATGAAATTTTCTTTTATGAGTGATGAAATTTTCTTTTATGAGTGATGAAATTTTCTTTTATGAGTGATGAAATTTTTTTTTATGAGTGATGAAATTTTCTTTTATGAGTGATGAAATTTTCTTTTATGAGTGATAAAATTTTATCTGTATTTTCTTTAATTTCTACTTTGATCTTTCAATTTTAATCACTTTTAATTCTTTAATGTTATGCATTATTATGTAAAATGATTGCAATAATCCATAGCTGAACAAAGTTAAAATTTATATTATCAATATCTGAAAATATTTTGATTTTCTAGTTGACAATACCAGTGATTCTTTTTGTAAAATTATCATTAGTGACTTAAGTTAATTTAAGGGGCTTGGTGATTGACTGAATTTGTCTTTTACTTGCCCCAGCTGTATATCTACATTTTGTAATAAATAATTATATAAATTTTTCTTTATCATAAAATACATAATAATAAAATTTTATTTGAGAATTGTTTACATTAAGCAACTTATATCTTTGAGATCATAACCCCAGTTTTATGAAAGATAATTTACAAATTATGTAAATACTTTAAATATTATTATAAATATTATAAATAATGCTCTGGTCTGCAATTTTATTGTTAATAATATGCCACGATATAATGATGTAAGATTTGAATGACTGATATCAGTTAATTCAACTAATATATTAAGTTTTTATTGTTAAAAATGAATATATTAAACCTAATGAAAAAGTTTAATTTTTAACATCAACAACATTCTCAAGTTTTTCGAAACAAGAAAAATAAAGATTTTAATGGCAAACTTTTAAATAAAAAGAAGTTGTTGGTCATCTTATAATATATTCTGAATCTTTTTTTTATTTAAACAATATGAATTTTTTTTTTCTTATTTTATCGTTTATGGCATTTTTTTTAGTTCTATCTTTAATAATAAATAAAATAATATTTTTATCAATAAATTTCAGTAAACGACAGTATTTATTGAAGATATTTGACAAAATGTTATATATTTTTAACTTTAAAATATTGATAATTGTATAGATTTAGTTCAAATTGCTAAAATTTGTTAATTTGATATGGATAAAAAGATAAGCTCATTATATTTTGCAACTTCTTAAAAAAATGACAAAGAAAACATGTAAAGATAAAAAAAACAAAATAGATTTGGTGTTTTCCAATTTATATGTCATATTTGGAAGGTATTTTATATCAAGACCTGTTTCATAACAAATTAAAAAAATTTTAACTTTTAAGATTGACAAATACAAGTTCTGCAATCAAAAGTTTCAAATTTAAAATTAACTCAATAATTCTACATTGTGTCATACTGAAACTTTTACCTTGAAAGAAATTGTTAAAATTTCAGATTATAAAGACTCAGAGATACAGAGTAAAATGGAGACTAAAACAAAAAACTTAGTTTTTATTGATATTTATTATTTAGTTTTAATCAAAAAAAATTTTTCGTCTCGTATGAGCCCACACGCGATTATAATATTTTAGAAAATGTGAACACGGGCGTTTGCAAGTTTTATAATAATGCTGAAAAAATTTCAAAAATAAAAAAACAAAACTAACAAAATAAAAAAAGATTGAAATAGAAAAAAATAAAAACAAATTAATAATTTAAATAATTTGTGTACTGTTTTTGTTTTTGTTTCTTTAGAGTTACATTCAGCAACAAAATTAGATAAGGCGAAGCAAAAAAAACAAACAGTTTGAAGTCTACAATAATAAGAATGATTTTTCTTTTCTTAATTTTTTTTTAAATGGATAGCAAAAATACAAATCGCAATGTGTTTGTAAAATTTATTTGTATAATTTTAATGTAACAACAAGGGTTGAACTAAGCGAATGCAAAACGTAAAATCTGGAAAAATATCTAGTATTAAAAATTTTAGTTTATACAAAACCGTGTTCCTTGTTTTTAAGGGGAGAATCAACTTAAATTTGTTAGCAAAAAACTAAAACAATAAACTTACGATTAAAAAAGTAATAACACTCTAGTCACTAACTGCATTACAAAAGTAATAACACTATAATAGTGTTATTATTTTTATAACGCACTTATAACTTTTAAAATTCATTCTTTGTTCAAGCAACATTAGTATTCCCAAATTTTAATTGAAGTAGAAAAATATCTAGAATAATAAAGTGGATGTTCAAATAATATTAAAACTAAAGTAAATTATAAAAACGTGATAAACAACTTTATGAAAACGTATCGTATTAAAAGTTTAGCATTGTGAAAAACGTTACTAATAGACCGTAAAAATGCGCGTTAATTTTAAAATTAACCAATAATAATTTTTTATTGGTTGATTTTAAAATTAACGCGCGTTTTTACGTAACGTTTTTCATAATGCTATACTTTTTATAAAGTACTTCTTTATAACGTTGTTTAAGTGATATGTGAAAGTTCCTGAAATTTTTAACAATATTTGAATATCCACTTTATTTTTTCTAGATGCTTTTCTACTTTAATAAATGTTTGGAATTAATAATGTTGTTTGAACAAAGAATGAACTTTAAAAGTAATAAGTGCTTTATAAATGTAACAACACTATTATAGTTTTATTACTTTTATAATGCAGTTAGTGACTAAAGTGTTATTACTTTTGTAGTCGTAAGTTTGTTATTTTTGTTTTGTTTTTTGTAACTTTCTCGCTAGCAAACTTTTAATAATTTGCTTCTTGTAAACAAAGTACACAGCTTTGCATGAACTAAAATTTTAAAGACCTAATATTTTATCAGAGTTTGCAAATCGCGATCGTATAATTTAACTCTTGATATAAACTTGCTACATTATAAATATACAAATATATTTTACAAACAGATGACAATACATATTTTCTCTTTCCTCTTTAAAAGAAAAAACACTTAAAATATGGGAAAGTCATCCTTTTTAACGCCTAAAACCTTTGTTTTTTGTTTTTTTTTTGGTTTGACTTAATGAATTTTGTTGCTGATAATAATAACCACTAAGAAAAAACAATAACAAAAACAACACACAAATTATTTTAACTATTATTATTGTTTTCTTTTTTAATTTACTTTTTTTTATGTAGTTATTAAATTTAAAACAATTTTTCAGTAACGCATATAATATAACTTGCGCAAACGGTCGTGATCACGTTCTCTAACTTGAAAAACGTTTTCCTGGTAAGGCTTGTAATATCACCTAGCACAGCTAATATTCTCTATGCTAAACCTAATTTATTCTAAACTAACTGGCTTTGAAAAATAGCACTTGTAGTAAAAATAATAAAATTAACAAACCAAACTTATAAAGTGCTAACTAATATTTATCGAAACTCAGAGGAGAGATGCATTAATCTAAAAATTTTACTATAAAATCAATAAATTACCCAATATGTAAGAACGTAGGAATGTGTTCTTTTTACTTTATTTAATAGAAAGTTATTGCTTATAATGTATAAAGTTTAATCTCCCCCCCTTTCCCCCTAGTCTCAAAAAACAACCGCAGTAAACATTTTTTTTTTTTGAAAATTAGCACTATTAAAGAATTTATTGTGTTGAAGCATTTGTTGTGATAGTCAGATACATGACTATTTTGGCTTATTACTTAAAATTGCCTATTGTTAACACAATTATTTATAAGCAATTTATGGAATTACAAGGTATTAAATAATCAAACCCATTTATTCAAAGTTTATCTATAAACAATTCTTCTTTTTCTCTATTTTCACTTTTCTGCTCAAAGAGCAAGAGATCCAATATAATCTCTTGTAAAAACTACATTTATTAGTGCAACTGCTTCAGATAAAAACCATTTTCTATATTTATCAAATATAAATTGCCCAGTAGCAAAATTTTAGGCTCTCTCTCACAATGTTCAGAACAGTCCTCCCCAGATGAACCTTAAATGGCTGATGATTTTTTTAAAAAAAGGTTTTAAAAACGCCAGCAGAAATTTCTAATGCAGGTATCTCCAATATATATATAAGATCGGCATTGACCTTAAAGTGTTTTAACGTAAGTTAAAAATGGGCAATTCCATTTTTAAATTACGCTACACGTTCAACAACTTTATCAAATATTTGTTTATTTAAACTATAAATTAAATTTTCAGATATTTTGTATGAAAGCTGTTAGTCTAAAGAATAAAATAAGCTAAAAAGCTTTGTCTGGCCAAAAACAGAAACAAGGTAAAAAAATTGTATCAACTTTTACGTCAGATTTTTGTGAATCAGTAAAGTGGTTTGTACTAAAAACTTTCACATAATGTTGAGAATTCTATACCAATTTTAAAAATATATATAACTTTATTAGAGGTGACCGGCTATAGGAAAATAAACTTGTTTTTTCGATACTATATATTTAACTTATGTTATATCACTTACGTTACCAAACAATTATTATCATGGATTTTTTATATCTGTTATTAGGAATTCGAGTTGTGTAACAAAAAAATTGCAAAAGTATCGAACTCATTCATTAAAAATAATTAACAAAGGAAATTTTAAAAAACTGGTGGCACTCTTCCTGAGTGATTTTTCATAACATTTATGAAAGTTACCAAATCAAAAAAAGTTTTTTGGCAAGACCAAGAGCAACTTTAAAAAATTATTTTAGTATTACAACTTTACTAATACTTATTTGAGTCAATTAAATAAGAAAATCTTTGGTTTGTCAAAGTTTTTACTTCTTACGTTTATGTGTATTCCCTTATTTTCGTTAGGTTGAATTTTTAAAATGCTGCTAAGTATTTACATCAAAATCTTTTAAAATATTTTTGATGTAAAAAACTGCTATCTCAGTTTAGGAGGGGTTCAGGTATATCATTTGTGACAGGAAGAAAGAGGTTAAGAATTGACAAATATAGGGTGACGTGCTTTATGGATGACCCCCTTAATTGCATTTTTTGATTTTTGACCCCCAATTGCAAATGATTTTTACTAAAATAAAAATAAAAAAGGTTGTAACTGATTTTTACTAAAATAAAAATAAAAAAGGTTGTAACTGATTTTTACTAAAATAAAAATAAAAAAGGTTGTAACTGATTTTTACTAAAATAAAAATAAAAAAGGTTGTAACTGATTTTTACTAAAATAAAAATAAAAAAGGTTGTAACTGATTTTTACTAAAATAAAAATAAAAAAGGTTGTAACTGATTTTTACTAAAATAAAAATAAAAAAGGTTGTAACTGATTTTTTTTATATTAGAAGAATAGCAAATAAATCTTTTTTTTTTTGACCAAAAAGATAATAAAATTTGACTACTCCTTCATTTTCCTCTTTGAAATTAGACAAAATAAGTGCCAAAACACTTTACAAAAACTCTACAATTGACTAGTGGCAAAAAAACTCTACAATTGACTAGTGGCAAAAAAACTCTACAATTGACTAGTGGCAAAAAAACTCTACAATTGACTAGTGGCAAAAAAACTCTACAATTGACTAGTGGCAAAAAAACTTTACAATTGACTAGTGGCAAAAAAACTCTACAATTGACTAGTGGCAAAAAAACTCTACAATTGACTAGTGGCAAAAAAACTCTACAATTGACTAGTGGCAAAAAAACTCTACAATTGACTAGTGGCAAAAAAACTCTACAATTGGGGTACAGTAATCTGAGCTATTTTGCTGTATTTCTTACTTAAAGTTAAAATATTTAAAATATATTTTTGTTTTTTAAAAAAGATATTATAAAACCAAGAATGGACATCCTACTACAAAAATTCAGCACAAGAATATGAACTTTTAATTTCTGAAGGTGTTTAGAGGTGTTTAGAGGTGTTTAGGGGTGTTTAGAGGTGTTTACATTTTGAAGCTGTTTACTTAAACCAATATTACCCCGCACTCTGATTAGTATAGTTTTATACATATTGTTGTTTTAACTTTTAAATACTGCTGCCTAAAATTAAAACCTGATCAAAGTTGACATTTTAAAAATTAAAATTAGCAAAATGTACAAGTACAGTGCCTACCAGAAGTTGCAAAAAAAATTTTTTAAAAATATTTATTTTATATTACTAATTTATTTTACGTTTCAATTATTTTATTGAAAAATTTTGACAAAAGTCTTTAACTTTTATTTTGCAGTTCATAAAGTTCAGAAAATAAATCAGCTTTTATCAGTTCATCTTAAAATAATTGCTTGTAACATAACAAAGTTATGCTGGTAAGCCAAGCAAGTCAACCACACTATTGATAATATAATGAAGTTGTGTTATTTAAAAAATGTAAATACCTCTAATTCATCATCTTCATTCAGCAACATCTGACTAAAAAAAAAGAAAACACATCTTTATTTAGAAAAATATTATTAAATTTTTTTTTTTTAATTTTTATTTTAAAATTATAAAATTACAATTTTAAAATAAAATTGTAATTTTACAATTTTATTTTTAATATACAATTTTGCTTCATTTGAGTTCCAGAATGACCTGTTTTAACAGAATTTTTTTTTTGTGATAATGTTAGGGACCCAATGAATGTTCAAGGATCTTGAACATTTGTTTTTTTTGAATTAAAAAATATTTTAAAAGACCCCTTAAAATATTTTATTTTTTTGTTCATTCACTTGTTTCATCAACCAAATTTAAATCTTAGGTGATTCAACTTTTATTCATCTAGTTTTTTTCTTGAACATCAGTGCTTTGAAATTTTCTTCCATCTTTTCTGATTCAAATAATTTACAGTTTTTTTAAGTTTTCTGTCAACCGCTTGTTTTTTTAACTCTCTTCTTTGTTTACTGGTTGCTTAGCAGTCTTGTTACGAGTGAATTTGTTAAAAAAAAATTACAAACAAATGATCAATATCAAAATAATTAAAAATAAGGAGGTGCAATATGGTGAATAAGGTAGAATTGCTAATTATATTATTACCCAGAAATATGAAAATCATTTGTAGTGCTTGAACACAGTGATTGATTTAGATCTTGAGTTGAATCAAATCTTTCTGAAACATTTGGAGTCTAAAGCAATGTAATTGTTATTTAAAAATTTTTTCAATAACAATAAAATACACACAAACAAGCATATATTGTAGAAATTAATGAGTGAAAACAATTTTTTTTAAATCGAAAGGTATAACCAATGGAGCAGTTAATGTAAACAGTTTTAAAAATAAATTTGACACCTTTGAATTTAAGAAGCAAAATATTTTTTATTTTTTTATTTTTTACTTTAAAGTTACACATCTACTGTTGTAAATATACAGTTGTATCTACAGGGTTTTTTGTTGTTTTTTTTTTTTCATTATCTTCGTTTCCAACAAAGATGCAAGCAACCACTACTAGAATTGAAAGTTACTGGAAGAGAAAAGATGGTATTTATAGAGCAAGATAATAATTGACAGAGGACTTAAAAGATTGCAAATTATATGAATCAGGAAAGCAATATGAAGGAAGCAAAATCCAAAAAACTTAATGTTCGAGGAAAAAAAACTAGACAAATAAGAGTTTTTGGAGCACTTAGGAGCAGTCACAGAAAAAGGATGAGATGCAAGCTCTTTAGAGCTGCATCTCATCCTTGCACATAAGATGCAAGCTCTTTAGAGCTGTGCCCATTGTAGTATTTGTAGAAAAGAGAAAGAGAAGCAATGTTATGACGATGTGATAATGGTTGGAAGTTGGCTACAAGAGCAGCTTATGTTTACAATGCATTTTTGCACCTTGTCTAAAAGAGAAACGGCATCATTGGAAGATCCGCTTCAGATATGGCAACAGTATTCTATACAAAGATAGATTTGAGATTTATAGAGATAAAGAATAGAATCCTTAGTAAGGAAGTGTCAAGCACAATACTTAGTAGATACTAATTTTGCAATGGATTTGTAATATGGTAATAGAGATCTGAAATAAGAGTTAAGTCTAGAAGATGAAGGGTCATCGAGTAGATGAAGAAGGGTAGATGACTCATTGTAGAAGGGTAGATGAGTCATCGAGTACCGTTCATAAATATAGGAAGATCTAAATTATTGCAATAAGAATTGCCCGAAAAAAAATTTTTTTCTAAACCAAAGTTCACCAACCAGGGGCTATTCTAGATCCCTTTCCAACAGTGTCGACTGTATTTGGGCGCCGCCCAAATTGAAAATTGAGAACTTTATTATTTTTTTTATGTTTTTTACGGCAAATGTTGTTTTTTTCGCTCCGCAGAATTTTTGAAAAAAGGGATAACAGATGTCGCTTTCCAGCAGGCTGGAAAACAAGACTCTGATAAGCACTTGTTAAAAAACTTTAGAAGTATAAACGACAGCTCCAGAAAACACTTCTGAAAGACTATAACAGGTATGTTGTCCGGACCACAAGCTGTAGAAGAGTCTAAGTAGGAAATCACTTTAGATACAGATGGAGTGATACAAATGTCAACCAATGGATCAACCTGTTTGTCAGCTATATCAGGTAGAATCCAACTAGTGGAATCAAGGGATGATATTGATGAAAAGTTCTTAGTAAACAATTCAGCTTTGTTTTTAGGTGAGGTGACAAAATTTGAACCAAACAAGAGAGGTGGAATAACAGGTTTGCCCTTATTATTGATACTCTTAAGGATTTTCTAGAAGTCACGAAAGCCTAATTTTTGAGATGAAATACGACATTTTGTGACCTGATACCTGGCGTTAGACAAAACTGTTTTAGAATGATTTCTAGCAATAGTAAATAGACATCTGTTTTCTAGATAATTGTTTTGCTGATAGATATGAAAGTAATGGTTTCGATTTGAAATTGCAGTAGCAAAATGCGAGGAAAACCATGGAGAAGAGTGAGGCTTGA